GACTTGAAAAGGGAAAATTTATTGTTTCATTTCATCTTCCACACAACCAGTCCCAAGGCTTGAGTCTGATGCCTTTCTTAATAGCAGCTCGGGATGTCATGGGAGGACACTGTTGGAATCTGAAGCTGGACAAAGTGGCAAGGCTGTTTTTCTGGAATAGAAATGAAACCGCATACTGCTTGCATGTGTCTCTTCCATGCGTTTCCTCGGATAGTGGACTATGGGTTTTGCATTCCTCATACCGCTGAAAGCAGAGCTGAGCATGTGCTGAGGACCCAAACCTAGGGGAGGCCTGCTGATTGGCAGGCGTCCCCTCGATGGGCCCTTCCTCTTCACCACTGTGACCTGCTTGTTCACCTGTCACGCTTTCTGACTCAGACAATGGTGGTGGTAAGGAGGATCAGCAGATGCCCAGAAAAACTTGTTCACTGCCTCTACCCATCCAGCAAGTGGGAACAATGATGGGAAAGAAGCTGAGGAACAGTAGCAACTAGTAACGTTGTTAGAGGAAAGGTAGATTTATTCTGGGAGGGAGCCCAGAGAGGGAGTTTTGCACAAAGACACTTAAGCACGGCTCAGGCGCCGCACACATGCATGGTCAGGATCAGCTGGCCTTCTGGTCCCTAGGGATTCATGTACCTCTTCTCTTCCTTGCAGCAGCTGCTCAGCATTCCCCCTCCCCCACTTTATCCTCTGTGTCTGAAACCAGTGTCCCTTAGCCATATTCCTGGTTTGATGCTCTTCTTCATACACAGCTGGATGGAAGTAAGTTGGTCTGACTGCTGGTAGTCCCAAATCATGATTAGTCAAAGCCTCCTTCATTTCAGTGGCTCTACTCTATACAGGACTAATATTGGATACTACTCACTGAATTAAAACATCTGCCACGCTTCTGTTATTGCATTTGTGATGAGCTGCAGATGGGCTTCAGTTTGCCTTGCATATAACAACTGTTTTTATAAAATAACCTCTTTAAATTCATTCAGTCCAAGGGCTGCAGTCAATTTTGGAGAAGCTCTTGCGGGGCTGAAAGTAAAAGGGGTGATGCGAACAGCAAAGAGGGCAGGGCAAAATACTAAAAACAGTAGGATATTTTATCTTAAAGTTTTTCCTGCCAGTAGCAAAGCCTTAGGAGAGGCTTTTCAATCTTTTAAAAAGATGGGGGCGGTGGAGGAAAACAAAAGCTGGCAGACCACTAAAAGTTTGATTTGCCACATGAGTTTGAGGTTCAACACCTCCACTTTCAACTAATATGGATATTGGCAATTGATTTTTTTTAATTTATATCCTGCCTTTTTCCTACAAAGGGCTCAAGGTAGCTTACATCTCCTCCTCCATCTTATCCCCACAACCACAACCCTGTGAGGTAGGTTGGGCTGAGTGTCTGTGACTGGCCGAAAGTCACCCAGTTGGCTCCGTGGCTGAGCGGGGACTAGAACCCAGGTCGCCTGAGTCCCAGTCCCATGCTCTTAACCACTACACCACACTGGCTCTCCTACACCACACTGACTCTCCAGAATTTGAACTTTTTTGACAGGTGGTTGGAAAAAGCCATAGGAAGAAGCTGCTGCTGCACATAAAAGTATTTTGTGCAGGCCAAAAGAATGATACAGCAAAGATGAATATGCTGTTTCTTTGCCATCTTCACCTAGAATTCTGCTATGGCTGATTAATCATAAAACATCTTACTCTGTTGTGACTAGGAATGCTCCTGCAGTAGATGAATTTAAGGATAGATAGGAGGAAAATATAGCAAAGGAAGCATAGACATGTGAGCACCCATTCCTGATTGTGCTAACATTCCTTACTGGCATTTAGTTATTTTAAGTCTGTATTTAAGAATTCCCAGTTCAAAAGAAAACAGCAAGAGAGACTGAGGAGCTGAGGTGTTTGGAAACAAAGGTCATTCTGCAGAAAACTCTTGTCATCTTGTCATAACATTTGGCAGACACCATAAAGAATGTTGTTCTGCATTTAGAGAGAGAAAATGTTAGGCTTCTTTAACAGATTGGCACCATACCTCTGATTCTGACCTTAATTTTCCACTTCTAGCAGACATATAGGGGCAAGGGATGGACCCACCACCAAGGAAGCCCACCCTCCTTTATCTTAGTGATCTGTAAAGCTGCCTGATGGCACATAAAGAGTATCAGGGGCTCAAAAGCTAGCATTGCATGCTTCCTGGTTCCCTGAACTATGAGAAGTTCCCAAAGCCGTGCCTGCTCCCCAAAGATGGATTCTGGTTTCCTTTAAAAAAGAGAGCATTGGAAATGTATAGCATTGTTATAACATTTGCTGTATTTACAAGTAAATAAAGCTTCTACCCAGCAATAGACCTCCTGTAAGAGAGAGCTTCAGATGTAGGACTGTATAGAAATGGAATATAAACCATCATCATCAAGAACCTGCCCCACTTCCATCTTTCCACTTCCAACCTCTCTCTGCCTGTTCATTCTTCAGTCTCATCCTTTTGTTCCTTTATACCAGGGATGAAGAATCCTTGCTCTGCCAGATGATGCTGTACTACAGCTCCCATCATCCTGACTGCTAGTGAGTCTGATAGGAGGTGAAGTCAGACAATAAGATCCCAACTCTGTGGCTGCCCAGTAGACATAACACTCATCTTTTCTTCCTTGGGTTTGGTACTTTTTAAGCTGTAAGCCTGTGGACAAGGACCCTCTCTAATTGATGATTTGTAAACTATTCGGGGAGCTTTTTTTTTAACCAAATAAAAATACCTCTGAGGGTACAATCTAATGCATGTTTAGAAAGAAAAAAGCCTCATTACCCAGAGAATTCCCCAACCATTCTGGCTGTGAGTTGTAGAACTTTTTTCTGCCTAAATATGCATAGAATTTCACCAGAAATACATAAGCCAAATAACACCAAATTAAACAATAGCTCAAATCCTGCAGATGTATGTAATGCAGTCCTGGAATTGCTGAAGGCAGCTCATGCTGTCCATTGTGAAACTGAATGTCAGTTCCTGAACTGAGGAGGCCAAACTGAATACGGGAATTAACTTTGCAAAACATTGCAGAGGTGCATTTCATGAATTTTAGATTGGTTGTGTTAGAAAATAACACTACTCTGTTTTTCATTATCTTGGTTTAAAATATTTCAGTTAAGGAGAGGTTTAATGGAATAAGAACATGATCCTTTGAAAGGGATAGGTGGCTCTTTCTGTTGTTTTGCAGTTTGCTTTCCTTTGGAAAAGTTAAATGCAGGTGATGGTACATCATGACCTTTCCAGTCAGACACTTTGTTTATATCTGCACTCAGCCTGGATTTTTGCACATCTTAATAGGAGCAAGCACTACTGCATGATTAGAAGAAGGCCTAGATTTCACTAATAGCCCTGGAATTACCAAGAGTTTCAGAACTGGGGATATGAATATTCTAGAAGTAATCTTGAATTTCACAAGCAAGTGAATGTAAAACTTCAGCTTAAAAAAAGGAGCAGAGAGAGATCTCAGTGTGATGCTAGAGATATTATTATCAAGATTAGACTATTAGTTATGTAGTGAGATCAAAGGAATCGGAAATGCCATTTGCAGGCAGGGTCCTTACAGCCTGCAAACTATGGCTCTTTTATTTGATTTATCGTAGTGGCGTGCTTACCATTTTTCTCTGGGTACCAGATGTAGATACTGGTGGCATTCACACAACAGAACAAGCAAGCCTCTGTGGTTGCCATGGTTCACAGGTGTTGTTTTTTTCCCCCATGATTTACCTGACTAATTATCAAGTGGTTTCTACTTTAACATGGTATCCATTTCCCTTGCTCAGCCCTCCCACTGTAGACATGTATTAAATAAGCCACTTGATAATTTGTCTGAAATTTAATCCCAAGGTAAATCAGTCCCTGTTTTTGTCCCCTGCCCCTTCCTTATTGGTCCACACATAGATGCTGGATAGCTGGAGCAACTCCCGAAGTTGCTGCTGTTTCCAGAGGAGTCTGCGATAATTGCATACCAGGACTTTGGAGACCACAATTCTGGGTCCGTACAATACAGTGAACCATGGTCGGACACCAGAGAACAAGAACAAACCATTATTTGTTTTGGGGTTTTCAAAGACCAAACTTGCCATGTTGAAATACCTTGACTGGGTTGAGACAATATGACAGACCAAAAATGCTAAAAAACCATCATGCCATGTTGTGTTATCTGAAGTCAACCACTGGCAGAATTGTAAGAGAAGGCAAGGGAAAGCAGTAAATAAGTCATTCTTTTATAACATATGACCCCTAAGATGCTGTTAGAGCTGACCAAGCAAGAGTCTCTCTGTTTGGCACTGGCAACTAGGTTAAGTTGATGGGATTCATACATAGTCAATTTTATAATGAAGCAAGTCTCGTTAAGGCAAGTTGGGCAAGTGAAAATAGTGTTCACATTCTAAGGAGCAGGCAAGGAATGGAAGAGGCTAATAGTTTGAGGAGGCCAATCAGTGTCTATGGGAACAGACAAAATGCCCAGGGTTGAGGAGCATTTGATGCATTCCTTATAAGCCTTCCTGCTAACCATAAAGCCTGTCTGTGGCCCTGTCACTACCCTGAGAGAATGTGCAGCCCCACTGAAAGATGGGAAATATTAATGCTACCAAAGTTCTTCCAACTGGATGGCTAACATATCCACCTGGACCAGTTGGGACAAATGATAATACGAAGGTTATTTGTGGTGGCCTCATCAAATAGAAGATACACTAGACAAGTGTGGTAAAGTGGTTAGAGCAGATAGGGCTAATCCAGGTTCTGGTCTCCATTGAGCCATGAAGCTCACTGGGTGACTTTGGGCCAGTCACATACTCTCAGCATAACCTACACTCTAGGGTTGTTGTACTGAAGATAAAATGAAGAGGAGAACTTTGTAACCATATTGGCTTCCTTGTAAGAGGAAGAAAGGCCAGGTACGAATGCAGTGTCATCTTCATTATCGTATTCCTGAATGAATAGGGAGGATCCTTAACAATTTTATACCTTCCCTTTTGCTGTCTTTCAGAACAATGATTCCGGTCACAGAATTCCGCCAGTTCTCTGAGCAGCAGCCAGCTTTCCGGGTGTTGAAGCCATGGTGGGATGTATTTACAGACTATCTTTCCGTTGCCATGTTGATGATTGGAGTGTTTGGTTGCACTTTACAGGTAGGTAAGCAGGAATGCAATCCAGACACACTCACTTTAGGTAGGACTGGGAAATACTTCGTATTCCAATGTGTACACAGAAAGGTTTTGTCAGGTAGATGATAGAATGTTTACCTCTAGCCCTGTTTAAATTACAGTTGCAAGAGATAATTTCCTTGGTAGAAGGCTTTAGTCCATTTGTGGCCAACCTTTTCAGCAATCTACAGCAAGTCATGTTCCGAAGAACGACAGGGTGCCTCTGTACAGGACACATGCAGGCAGGAGCTTTCTCCTGTATTAGCAGGAGTTCCAGACATCCCTATCCCTTCATGTTGAAAGAACCCATGGGAGGGATAGTGTGGAAGCTGGCCCCACCATCTGCTGTGGATGTGCCCCTCCTTCAGTCCACGCAGTGGAGCACATTGAAAGAGCTCAGTGTTACATTCTGCCCCAGTCAGAATCCCCTACCCAACCCAATATTGCATGGAGGAATTCCACATGATAGTACGAAAATGGAGACTTTTTTACAACACAGAGGAAGAACATGGGAGGCATTGGTGATAAGGGATGTGCTGAGGCTAGTCCCTTAGTACCCTTTGAGTTCATGCATTTTTTTTGCTATACAATAAGAGTTGTCCAAGCTCCTCTGGTATGTGGAGCTGATGCTTTGTCTATAATCTCTTGAAAATAGGAGGAGGCCAAGATAGGCTCCAGGCTTCCACAAAACCACTTATGCTACCCATGCTGTAGATGAACCATCCCTATAGATTTCAAGTACAAACACTGCTGTATCGAATGTTGCATTTCTTTCCATTGTCAAATATTGTGGTCTAAATCCTAGTGTATGTATAGATCGATAAAGTTCAGCTTTTTAAATTTTCTTTTTAAGATCTTGGAGGTTGCAAACACAATGAAATAAATATGTAGGTATGCTAGAAACAGATAAAAGGAATAGTGCTTAAAAAAAACCCCAAAGCATTGTTGTTCACAGTTGTCTTTGCCCCAAACTCTAAAATTTATATTGCTTAAAAGAGGTTACAGTGCTTCTGAAATCTACATAACCTCCAGATGTTAGCTTTCTCATCAAGTGAAAGGGGAATGTGGAATGATAAATACATTCAGGTCATTGCTTTTAGCCTGATGCATTTTTCCATTTGATAAATTTTGACAAAGACAAGAAAAAGATAAGTTCTAGTGTTCAGAACATTCATAAATCCTTGGATTATTGGGAGGAAAACATATATGGGTATTAATCTGCATTGCAGTGACAGTAGTGCAGGGGGCTTCCCTCCACTACTGCAGGGGCTGCACGCCATTCTTTAAGCAACCCATAACAAGCAGAAGCACTCATTTTTACAGTGAGGCAAGTCAGTGGAGCTCACAGAAGGGAATTCTGATGACCTGCTGCAATCCAGAAACAAGCATTTCTGCTCATGTACTAGGTTCTTGTCCAATGTGCTGACTACCCGGGACACATGTCATTGATCCCATTGGTGCAACACTGTCTGTGAGAATATACTGCTATATGGTTGCTTTTCCCCATTGGGCAGTCTCTGGTTTTGGTTTTGGTTTTAAATGTGTGTGTTTGCTTTATCCCTCTGTTTTGACTTGAAATGGCATCAAAGTGTTTCTTCTATGTAATGTCCCAATAATTAATTAATGGTCTTCAAAGGCCTAAAACTGGGTACACTCTTTTTAGGACTTGCTGATGAATAACTCTTATCACTTCCCCAAAGAAGTGGCAACAGTTTAGCAACAAGTTGTCAAGACTAGTTAGGACAGTCAATACAAAACTATAAATTTGTGCAAGGGGAATTCACAGAGCATCCTGTTGAGCTAGAAGTTTGAGGAAGTCCTTTTAGAAACAGGAGAACTTGTCACTGTGGTACACCGAAGGGAGACATTCTGATGAGCAGTGTGGTACATTTCTGAATTCTGAAGAAGACTGTACTGCTGCTCTCTGAAATTTTACATATAGAAGAAACAAATGGTGCAGACCATCCATGCTGCTTGTGTGTGCAAATAAGTACATGTAGATGCGCAAGAATCTGTAGGTGCTTGAGTAGGTATACCCAAGGAAGGCTCAAAGGTATACACTCCAGCATATATCTTCCTACAGAGGTCTAACTAGTAAAGTTTATAGCTGGATTTTTTAAAAACCAACCCCAACCCATCACGACCCCATGGACAACATTCCTCCAGGCCTTCCTGTCCTCCACCATCCCCTGGAGTCCACTTAAGCTCACGCCGGCTGCTTCAGTGACTCCATCTAGCCACCTCATTCTCTGCCATCCCCTCCTTCTTTTGCCATCTATTGTTCCCAGCATCAGGCTCTTCTCCAGGAAATCCTTCCTTCTCATTAGGTGGCCCAAGTATTTGAGTTTCATCTTCAGTATCTGGCCTTCTAAAGAGCAGCCAGGGTTGATCTCCTCTAGGACTGACCGGTTTGATCGCCTTGCTGTCCAAGGGACTCGCAGTCTCCTCCAGCACCACAATCCAAAGGCCTCAATTCTTCGGTGCTCAGCCTTCCTTATGGTCCAACTTTCACAGCCATACATTGCAATGGGGAAAACCATTGCCTTGACTATACGCACTTTTGTTGATCCATGAAAGGAAGGAAAATACTAGCATGCATTTAAGAAGGTTTAGGGAGAATCTGACTGTTCTGTTGAGAACATTTGTCAGGCCAGAGTGGAAACTCTGGTACGGAAATGCAGGTATGTGCCTACTGTACTGCATAAGAAGCTAGTGCTGGTGAATTTTGGGTGCGGAATTCTGGTTGTGGGTCTCAGGTGCCTTACTTGTGCTCCATCAATGGGCCAGAAAAAGGAGGAGGAGTTTGCTTGCTTCTTGCTGTGGAGAGTCAGACAACACTAATCCTGCATCTATAACCCCAGGTGACGCTAAGGGTCAGCAGAGTTCCACCTGGTTTTATACAGCTACCGACTCCAGCCTGCCTCTCTGTCTGAGGGCTTTGCATCGCTGGCAGAGACTGGGCTTCTGTGAATTGTCCATTTGGGGCTTGAACAGCCTGCCTGTTTACTGGCTCTATTACAGGCCTGACTCAGAATGCTCTAAGGGTTCCCTCTACTCCCAATTGTGGTAGTCGCGCATGTACAGCATGCCTTTTAATAGCCATTATGAGCTCAGTTTGTCACATGGATATATTCAAAAGTCATTTCATCGAGGGCAGTGAACCAACAACCTTTTGGCTTTTGGCTTCAAGAGGCACTCTAAGGATGTGCAAATGAGTGAAGCTCAGGGAAATGTCATGCGAGCATGGACATATTTGCATTCTGTCCTGCTGCTGATTCGTAGATGGCAGGCTGTGTCCTTCCACTGAAGCAACCCCATTTTTTCTGCTGGCATGAATCTGTGATCACTCAAGTAATGCCAGTAGCCGAGATCTATGCATCATCTGAAATGACATGTTTATTGATAATAACACTAAGTATTCAATTTGGAGTGAGGAATCCTGGAAAGTATTTGGTTCTGTGTTAGTCATAGTAAATTTGAAAGTGCTTGGTGGCCTCAAGCACTCTGTAATAGTACATTATAGGTACATTTTAAGTTTAAAACTGCTGAGAGGCACCCCTCATTGTAGTAGAGAATAAAGTCTTTCTTTTCCATCAAAGCGGTGAACTGTTAGCACTGACACGAATAGCTTCCTTGCGGTGTATCTCCCTTGTGGATTGGTGGGAAGTAGCTTCTCGCCATTGTGTGTATCCATTTTTCCTTGGCATGCTTGTCCCCTTTGTCTTGGGCAAAGTAGCCTGCAAAGAGTACTGAGCAGTCAACCTGTGTGGCCACTTACTGTTTGGTTACCTCCAGCAGTAGAACAATAATGGTGATGACGGGGCTCTTAAAAGTTCTTAGTTTGGCATAGAGGTTTCTTTGGAATCAGGCAATGGAGTTCTACTGACAAAGCTAAGCCAGTGCGTTCCCACTGGTTGCCTGGATTAGAAACTTCCTGGGAACCCAACATAACCTGCCCCAAGCTTCTCTTGAAGGAAGCACAGGATATAAGTGTCATAAATAAATGTAAATACGGCAATATGGCTAGGTAGGCAACTGTAGCATTTTTGACTCACAAGAAGGCAGCAATGCAGAGATTGCATCCAATTGCTAAGCAACTGTAGGACATCCTCAGTCTGCATTTTTCTTCCAGCCTATCAAAATTCCTGCCAGAGCCAGTGTGGTGTAGTGGTTAAGAGCATGGGACTGGGACTCAGACGATCTGGATTTGAGTCCCCGCTCAGCCATGGAGCCAACTGGTGACTCTGGGCCAGTCACAGACTCTCAGCCCAACTTACCTCACAGGGTTGTTGTTGTGGGGATAAGATGGAGGAGAAGATGTAAGCTGCCTTGAGCCCTTTGTAGGAAAAAGGCAGGATATAAATCGATAAATTAATAAATAAATCCCCACAACACAGCTGCAACAGGTAGCTGGATGCAGAACACAACAGCAGAGCAGAAACAGACAGGTCTGGAGTTTCATTTCTGGTGCAATCCTGTGCATGTTTTGGCAGAAATGGTCTACAGTTCAGAATGCCCCTGCTAGGCATGGTTCCCTATATCATGATTTTCAACCTCCTGTCTGCAGTCCAGTGCCAGTCCGCAGGAGATTTCCTGCCGGTCCATTGCGGCGGGGGGGACATCCCAATCTCTGCAGACCAGCAGAGGGGCTGGTTGTGCTCCATCCCCTCTTCCTCGGTTGGTTTCATGTTTGCAGGGGAGTGCACCGGTGCTGCAGGGAGGCAGCAGGGAGAGATGGCTTGGTGGGAGCCAGCTGGGAGCCACGCTGCACCAATTTCGGTATTTTGTTCTTTTGTTGGCATTTTTTGTTCGGTTTCTGGTTGTTTTGAGTGTTGTTTTATTATTTTGATATTGTGTTTGGAAACTAATACACGGAATACTGTATTATGTGTATGGTACTTTTTGTTTCTGCCTCAGTGGTCCCTGAGGTGGTTTTCCCATTTTCGCCGGTCCCCAGCTGTGGAATGGTTGAAAACCACTGGCTTAGAAGAATGCAGGCCTTGAGTCACTTATGCTCAAAATTCAGATGCCATTTACAAGGCCAGCCTTCATGAAAGCTGCTTTTAGCACTTGAAGGACCCACATGTCTAACATGGACATCCGGATGAAACAAGATCACCATCTTCTATTTGTCCTACAGGAATATGGTTAAGTGATAGACATTTGAATACCTTTCTTTTAAGAAAACCAGTGAATTTCTCTATTTTACACAAGATTCAAATGCTGCATGTGCTAACCAGAATCAGACAATGCTGGTTGGGATGGTGTTAGGGCAAATGGAAAGGTGATGTAGCCAAGCATGTGAGCTTCAGCGGCCTCAGTCCCAGTAACGCATTAGCCACCAACTCACAAGTTCTTAAGCGAGCAACTTTCTCTCTCACGCAGAAACGTATCATAATGCATAACTAGCCTGCTTTTTATGTCTGTTCCAAGGATTACTGAGATTGTGCATGTATAGTGTATTGAATATTCTTATGTATTGTATACATTCTTTATGTAGGGTTTTTTTGTTTTGTTTTTTATCAGGTCTAGGTAGTTTTATTAATGTTTACCATTTTACATTTTTGTTTATTAGTGTTATATTATGTTGTGAATCCCCAGAGAGCTTTAGCTTTTGTGGGGTACAGAAATTGAATGAATGATTAATGAAGGAATGGTTCTAGTCTACTGTAACCAGTCAGCCTTTCAGTGTTAGTTCTTGTTTTAGAAAAAATGTCAGAAAGTTGCTCTCAAAATATTTGCCAAACCATCACATTCCCTTTGTGTAGGAAGCACACAGAGGACCATTTATGCCTCCTATCTGAAGATCCAAATCTATAATTCACTGGTGGATCCCATTTTCTGATGCATGGCACTAAAGTCACCATGTATGTCCCCTTTCTGCCCCACAGCTTGTGGGAAAGTAAAGCCATATTAAACACATATTCAACTTTTCTGGATTTGGTGCTGATACAACCTGCAAAAAGAGGAAAATCATTTGTTCAGCTCGACATATCGAGTATCGATGCAGGTGAAAGGCATAATGGGACATGTTTCCCCATCCTTCCCCATGGGGATTTGGTTCTGAGTCAAAACCGTACAGTAGAACTGAAGGCAGCATGATGGCTTTCTAAAGCTCAGGGCAGAGATGTTTCTTGGAAATCATGCACATCAAACACTTTTCTTCCACTGAACTGTTTTTTTATTACACAGTACATACTTTAAACCATGGTTTTTGTTTGTTTGTATGCTTTTCAGGTTATGCAGGATAAGATCATTTGCCTTCCAAAAAGAGTACAGACTTTGCAGAACAATTCCCATGTTCCTAACGTGTCAAGTTCGAACTCCAGTGCAACCCCACTTCTTCCACCCAAGCCATCCACGCCTCCTGCTACTGTTGAAATGAAGGGTCTAAAGACGGATTTAGATCTTCAGCAGTATAGCTTCATCAATCAAATGTGCTATGAACGTGCCCTGCACTGGTATGCAAAGTACTTCCCTTACCTTGTCCTTATACACACTCTGATCTTCATGCTCTGCAGCAACTTCTGGTTTAAGTTCCCCGGATCAAGCTCAAAAATTGAACATTTTATCTCCATTCTGGGGAAGTGCTTTGATTCTCCTTGGACAACAAGGGCTTTATCGGAGGTATCTGGAGAAGACTCTGAGGAGAAGGACAACAGGAAGAACAACATCAACAAGTCAAACACTGTCCAGCCTAGCGCAGAAGGCACTTTAGTTAGGAGTCAGTCATTGAAATCCATACCTGAAAAGTTTATTGTGGATAAGGGAACACCTGGGGCACTGGATAAAAAAGAAGGAGAGCAGGCCAAAGCATTGTTTGAGAAGGTGAAGAAGTTCCGACTCCATGTTGAAGAAGGTGACCTGCTTTATGCTATGTATGTCCGCCAAACGGTGCTGAAGGTGATTAAGTTTCTTATCATTATTGCATATAATGGTGCACTTGTTTCAAAAGTCCAGTTTACAGTAGACTGCAACGTTGACATACAAGACATGACAGGGTATAAGCACTTTTCTTGCAATCACACGATGGCACATCTGTTCTCGAAACTTTCTTTCTGCTATTTATGCTTTGTAAGTATCTACGGGTTTACATGCCTTTACACTTTGTATTGGTTGTTTTATCGTTCACTGAAAGAATACTCTTTTGAGTATGTCCGGCAAGAGACTGGAATTGATGATATTCCAGATGTCAGAAATGACTTTGCTTTTATGCTTCACATGATAGACCAGTATGACCCTCTTTATTCTAAAAGATTTGCTGTGTTTCTTTCAGAAGTCAGTGAAAACAAACTTAAACAGCTTAATCTAAACAATGAATGGACCATAGATAAATTGAGACAAAGACTGCAGACGAATGCCCAAAACCGTTTGGAGCTACAGCTGTTTATGCTCTCTGGGCTTCCAGACACAGTTTTTGAGATTACGGAACTTCAGTCACTAAAACTCGAAATTATTAATAATGTTATGATTCCAGCCACCATGGTTCAGCTGGATAATCTCCAGGAACTCTCACTGTACCAGTGCTCTGCAAAGATCCACAGTGCAGCCTTAGCATTTCTGAAAGACAACTTGAAAGTCTTGAATGTCAAATTTGATGATTTCAGAGAACTCCCTCCTTGGATGTATGGGCTCAGAAATTTGGAAGAGCTGAGTTTAATTGGTTCTTTGTGCCATGACATTTCTAAAAATATAACTTTGGAATCTTTTCGAGAACTCAAGAGCCTTAAAGTTCTGTACATTAAAAGCAACCTGTCCAAGATTCCACAATCTGTGGTTGATGTTTCAAGTCACCTTCAAAAAATGTGCATCCACAATGATGGCACGAAACTTGTGATGCTCAACAATCTGAAGAAAATGGTCAATTTGACAGAATTAGAACTGGTGCACTGTGACCTGGAGCGCATTCCCCATGCCGTTTTCAGCCTTATTAGCCTCCAGGAATTAGACTTGAAGGAAAATAATCTCAAATCAATAGAGGAAATTGTTAGTTTTCAACACCTGAGAAAACTTACCATCCTAAAGCTATGGTACAACAGTATAACCTATATTCCCGAGCACATAAAGAAGCTCACTAGTTTGGAACGGCTGTCTTTTAGTCACAACAAGATAGAGGTTCTTCCATCCCACCTCTTCTTATGCAACAAAATTAGATACTTAGACTTGTCTTACAATGACATCCGATTCATCCCACCTGAAATTGGGGTGCTACAAAGCTTACAGTATTTTTCAATCACTTGCAACAAAGTGGAGAGCGTGCCAGATGAGCTGTACTTTTGCAAAAAACTGAAGACTCTGAAGATTGGAAAAAACAACCTGTCCATTCTCTCACCTAAAATTGGAAATCTGGCTTTGCTCTCCCACTTGGACATTAAAGGAAACCACCTGGAATTTCTGCCCCATGAACTTGGTGAATGCAAAGCTCTGAAAAAGACTGGCATGGTGGTAGAAGACACCTTGTTTGAAACTCTGCCTTTGGATGTCAGGGAACAAATGAAGGCAGAATAGCATCCATTTTCACAGTTCTTTTACAAAACCTGATTCTGCCAAATGCCTTGTACATAGTAAGTTATCCTGAATATGCCTTTAAAGCCTGTTTTAAATTTTCTTGGTTCCTTTGACATAAGAGTTTCCTGTATGAACTTTTTGCGACTAAGTGTATATACATATTTTTATATTAGTTTTATTGTTTTAAACTTCCCTGCTCCCAAACATTTGTAATTGTTTTAATTTTTCCTGGATACTGTGGGCTTCTGGTGGAAAAAGAAATTGTTTACATCCACCTTAAAAACAAAAAAAGATTGGGCTAGCTCAAAATGGAATCAACATCATTCAGAGTATATAATGCAGGTAATACATACTAAGGACATGAATGCACAGTTGCTATAGCAACTCTAACCCTGTCCATTGTGTTTTGTAAACCATCTTAATCCTTTAAGGTAGTAAGTTTCTTCTCTTGTATTTTTATCCTTATCATAGGTAACTGTCGCCTTGTCAGGTCAGATTGTCCTGTTCTTAAGGCTTCATTTTAGCAAAACAGGAAGGGTGTTTTGGCCATCAGCACCTCATGGATGAGAGGAGCTTCCTAACAGCTGGTTATGGGTCAAGAAATAGCCTTCTGTGCTAATAGAACTTCTGACGCCGGTGCTGGCAACAGAAGCCTTATTCTCTTGAAGACTCTAAATTAAAATTATGTTTTTGGCTAGAATTCAGTTTGCATTAAGTCATTGTCTCCATCTTTGGGATTCTCAGCCATGATTAGACACTCTGATCCAAGATTCTGTCCTGGCAAAAGAGCATACCAAGTCTTCCTCCTCTCCTGCCATCTCTTTGTGTGCATCAGATCATTGCCATTTGCTGCTGCATCTATAGACGAATCTACAGAATGGCGCTTGTGACCTTCCCTATCATAAATGCACTCTGAGGCTTTGAGATATAGAGAATACTATTATGGAGTCCCCTAGCTTCTCTCCAAAAACTGACAGTATCTTAGATTTCCTGAGCAGAGGGAATCATATTGTTCTCATGAACTTTGGGTCAGGTTTGCCATGGAAAGGTAGCATACAAATAACTATGATGTGACCTGTCAAAACATAAGGTAGTCCTGTTAGATAGCTTAGTAAAAAAAGTTCTAAATTTCTGCAAATGAAAGTAATATCGAGCGATGGCACTGCATCTCTCCTGGGTGTGCTGTGTCAGCAGGACCTGCTGTTGGTGCAATAGGATCCTAGAGCAACTCGGAAATGAACCATAACACTTATTTCCTGAATGGCAGGTCAGCAGAACTTCCTTCTGCTAGTTTTTCTGTCCTGCTTCATTCCGGAAAGTAGCATTTTGGCTTGGTTGCAGTGGCAGCAATGTTGGGAGTCACGCTGCATGCTAGCCTAAGGATTTGACCCTGGCCATGCTTGATGGGAGGAAGTAATTTTGCTCAGCAGGATTGACTTCCACTGAAATGTGTTATGTTGCAAGGAAAATAGTATATGTGTGCTTCAGCTTTACTCAAAGTTGAGTAAATTGAAACTCAATGTTTTATGTTGAAGTTGTCATTATTTATAATTAATTATCCATAATATGTAGTGACTTCATCCACTTCATACTTGCATAAGTGGGAAGCCTCTCCTGCATGTTACACTTGTGACTGCACAAGGAGGTTTGCTTATCTAGGCTCTGTTAATGGCCAGATGCCTTTTAGATTTGTTCGTGGGCTGGCGATACATACCTGCATCTGAGGCCACAGTGTCCCATGACTTGTTGCCTACATTCAAATGTTACAATAAGCGCCTCGGTGAAACTGAGACTCATACGTTTCTCTCCTTTCTTCTTCTAGAACAGCTTGAGAGAGGAATTTGGAAGTTTTTGCTTCCATTAGCCCCTTTGTTGTTTAATTTCATTGTGTTACCTAAGTGTAACAAACCATGCTTAATCTAAACCATGTTTTGTTTGAAATACCCCATCTTCAAGTGACTGCTTGGCTTCAGCAAATGTTGTTAGCAAAGGTAACCTTGAACTTCTGTTAATCAATAACATGGGCAGAAGCTTCCTTTCTCCTTTCAACTCCCCCAGAAGGATGAGAGGGTGGTGAGCCCCAGGTTCATCTTTCTAATATATAACAGCCTTGATTATCATGTTAGCATTACTTGACAATAAGAATAAGCCTTGCTGCGGGGCAACCTTGCAGATCTGTCTTCCTCACATCTTCCCCAGGCCCCACTTCACCCTGAAAACCAGATTTCTTCTTTCAGCATTTAAGTCACCCACACAGAATGAAGAGGGGGTTACTATTTTGGCTTTGAAAAAGGTAGCATTTAAAAATTGCTAGGTGACTAGCTAAGTGTTGAGCTTTGTCTCCTGGGCCAGCTATCTCAAACCAGAAACATCTGGTGTGTAATATAAAATTTGCATTTCATTTGCATGTTAAACATTTCTGCAGTTTGATAACTTGAAAAGAAAAAAAACGTGTTATAAGTATGAGAACAAAGTTGCATGAAGGAATCAAAATGTGATTTCAGATAATTATTCTATTATTAAGAGTAGTTTTTTCTTTATACTGTGCATGCGGCTGTTGCACATGCTTTTGTTCCATCTATTCCATCCCCAAGTTCCATCTGTTCCAGCCTCCACTTTCTTACAGTGATTGCCAGATGCTTTCAGAAAACATCAGGACATGGAGACAAAACTGCTGGTCCATTACTGTTCTTCAGCGAATACCATTAAATGCATTTTGGCTGTTGCACATAACACTAAACTGTGATTTATGTTAACCAGGATGTTTTTGCTTTAGTCATGAATTGTCTCACAGATGAGGAAACAACCCATGGCTTATTTTCCCAATTTCTGTTTTGCTTTTCCCCAACTATTTTTTCCACCTTTGGAGAAATTTTCCATTGCTCTTGGTAGGCGCTATTTCAGGGCAGACAATGACACAAATAGGAAATAAATCAGGGTTCTAATTTCAGGTATGAGAAGTCATGTTTTAAACAAGCAGACTTTTAAAGATAACAGTAAACTATAATTTATTTGTGGAGGTGACTCTGCGTCCAACAACAAACCACACTGTGGTTCAGAGTAATACATATACTAGCCCATTCCGTACAAAGTTGAAGGCTGCAAATAACTGTCATGACTAATAGCCATCAGTAGATTCATCACAAATTTGTCTAATCTCTTTTAAAGACATTTATGCTCATGACCATCTTAACATTTGTGGCAGTGGATTAGACAAATTGTCTAAGGAAATTTGTGGATTCCACAAATTGTCTATGTAAGTATTGGCTAGACATGAGATATATATTTTAAGAATATGTGTGCACAATTCCAGTTTTATGTGTCCTTACCTGGAAATAAGGTCTGCTGAATTCAGTGAGATTTCCTTCATGCTTAGGACTGTACTGTTAGTCTGAGAAATTACCTCAGCATTGTTCTGAAATAGTCCCCACTGCAAGGATTTGGGGTTATTTCAATACTGCTTTGTTCCACAGCATCTTGCTTCATTCCAAGGTCACTGTGGCACATACAGATTATAAACAGTTCTGCATTTTATGCTGTTGGATGGCCATGGCTTCCCCCAAAAGTCCTGGAAATTATAGTTTGGTGGAAGTGCTAAGAATTCTTTGTCTGAGAGTCTTAATTCCATTCCCTTGGTGTTTTTGCATGAAACTGTGAATCCCAAGCCCCATTGTTCTTTAAATGTTAAAACTGGAGGCCTCTAGTTTTAAACCGCCTTTCTTTTACTAGAGAATAACCCTGCTTTTGTTTAAGTGGCCACTTATGCTAGGGAGCCTAGCAAGAGCCTAGCAAGATCCTGCCAACTCTCTCTCTCTCTCTGAGTTTCTTTCAGCTCACTTCATCTTCAGCTTGCATGTGTAAACAAGTCAGAGATGGAAGTGAAACATCCCAAACTAAAATATGCAGATAAGCAGGCCTTTTTTATGCTTCTGAGGTTTAGCAGAATGTGAGGAAGAAAAGCCGTTCTCCTTTTTAAAGTCGAAATCTAATCATATAAACCAAAGTGCTGTTGTTGCTAATGAATGTAAACTGTTGAACGTGTCTGTACAATCAGTGGTTTTCTGTGTGACTATCTGTGATAGATTAGAAATTGGAGATTATAGTATGGAGGGGGACAGTGTGGACTGTGTTCCTAAAATGAGGTTTCTCCAGAAATGTTTCCTGAGGATACCTGCTTCTCCCAAATGAAATTTGCTAGGAAAGGTAAAACTAAAGGGTGCTGCTTCTATGGCTTGTGTCTTAACTGGAACAAAAGCAGGTCGCACCAGCAACTTGTGTCGCTCGTGTGCACTGCCTCTCCGTGTAACTAATGGGCAGTTCACATGGTCATCCCTTGAGAAATTTTTGTATGGACATCGGGGCTGTGTGTGTGTTTCGTGCATGGCATTCCCTGTGCCTGCACAAAGGAGCAAGTTCTGCAATGCTTCCATTTGCTCTTTTGAGGAGGGAGGGTTGTAAGTCTCAGGCATATGTGTTGGGTCATACGTCTAAGCCCACTGTGCACACAGAACTTTCGTCTTGTGTGAATCCAGTGCAGTTGAGCAAAGAGTTCGTCACAGGCTGCAGTTTGTTAGAAGGTATTTTGGAGAAGTCCCTTTATCCTCTCTGGAGCCTCTGTCTCAAAACAAGTGGATGAATATGTACAAGCGTTCCTGAAAATGCCTCCTGTCCATGTATGTGTATCAAAAGCATTTATTATGCATATTATTATGACAAATGTTGTATTGCATGTGTTTTGTGGCACTTTTGTAAACAGAAATTTCAGATAGCCCATTCAGCTTTCATTTTTAATGTTTTTATAATTGTGTAAAATGATAGCTTTTAAAATATTGTTCTGTAATGTCATGAAACAAGCTCAGGTAAATGGATTTCCCTTTTTATTTATATTTACTCCTCTTGGTATATGTTCAAAATCTTATGATCAAGATATATATGAAAAAAGTCTTGCTGAGAAAGGGTGGTTTTCTTAATTCTGTTCAAGGTTTGGAAATTACGTTGATGAACAAATGCCATATATAGTCGGTCATTTTGCTTAAGATAATTGCAAACCTATATCTGCCTGTAGTTGACCATATAAAACAATACTGCATAAGATTGTCACCTAGTCTGAATCCATTTTCATTCACAGCAATCTAGCCATAGTAATGGGTATTTTTCCTCAGATGTGGGGAGATATCAGTTCCAAAAACTGGTGTGATGTGATGGAAATCAGATTATTTATTTAATATAATTATATCCTGCTTCTTTTTCCTTTCAAGAAACTCAAGGTAGTTTACAGAATCCTCCTCCCCTGAATCTTATCTTCACAGCAACCCTGTGGGGAGGTTAGGCTGAGACTGGCCCAAAGCCACCTGGTGAGCGTCATGGCTGAATGGGAACTAGAACTAGAGACCCATTCAGCCCCAGCCACTGCACTAATCTTAATACACAGCCTGGCATTTGACCTTGATCTTAGGTCTGTTGTTTGCCGAAGCAAATTGAGTAGAGTTCTCTCATCTTTCTAGTGGGACCTTCTGCACTCCATTGACTGTGACACTTCCGTAAGTTATTCCTGCTCAAAACTGTGGTGGGGCAGATGGGGAAGTGCCAGTGTGCACAAAACCCAAGACTAGTATGTGGCACCACCGGCCCCATGTTTCCTGCCCAGATACAGGGTGGCTTTCCTAACTGGGTACCCTCTAGATGTTTTGGGCTACATTTCTCATCATCCCTGGACACTCTAGTAGGCTGATGGGAGCTACAGTCCCAAATATCTGGAGGTTTCCAGGCTGGCAGCTACTGTGATTTCTAGTTTGTTCCAAGCTTCCGTGGAAAGTTACAGAGTAAGCTAGTCACTGAAGTCTCACTACTTTTAGTGGCACTTGAGTTTAGTTGGAATGTCCCCCCCCTCGCTGTGTGTGTGTGTGCACACGTGCGTGCGTATTCATGCATGTGTGTGGACACACTGAGAATTTAAAATAAATTAGCAGGCATTCTGTGAATAGGAGTGAAGCAATTCCAAAATCCCCTCCACTTTTCACTAGCCCACAAGAAACAAATTTACCAGTATTCCTGCTGAACATCTCTATGACATATGAAAAGAAGACCCAAACACCCGCTCTGTTAAAAGGAGTCACACCCTTCACCCAAAGAAAGGGAAATGGAAGAAGTGGGGGGGGGGGGGAGAAGGAGGCAAGAGAGAAGTAGCTGTGGAAGGGGGTGGGGCTCCTGAGTTTGGAAGATCATCTACAGGTCCTTTCTGATTGATTGATTGATTGATAGATCGATAGGGGGCAAATATAATTGAAAATACTGCTGTTTCTAGACAGGCTACTGTTTCACTCTGACCTAAGCAAGGCTGTACAATTCCTGCATCCGGTTGATGGTGCCTTGTAATAGAAGAGTGTTCCGACTGTGCTTACATCACGGTGACACTTCCAGGTCAACTTTGCTGTTGTTCTGCTAAGAATAGCAGTAAGTGTTTAGCCAGGTTTCCTGGATAGTTTGCATGCTCAGGCATTCTGGTTCTGCACTGGGCTGAAAACTGTAGTGAGAAGCTTTGGGGATTTTGCAGAAATTCCCTTTTAATCAGCTTATGAAATGTGTTTCAGAAAGATACACGCCCTTTAAGCACTAAATGAAGAGCAAGCAGAGTTCTTAAGGGTGTGATCCTGTGCATATTTAGAAGGAAAGAGCCCACCATTCACCATCCTCCATTCCCCAGCCAGAACTGCTTAACCATGCACAGCGTTGTGCTTTGGGTCTGAGCTTCAGTTCCTTTGTTTACATCTTAATGAGGCAGCATAGGGGGAAAGCCTCTCTGTTACCCTTGTGGCCACAATTATCCAAAGCTGTTACAAAGGCCCTTCCAGCCTTTTATTTCATGCAAAGAAATGGTCCCTGCTGCTCAACACACTGCTCTTTGCTAGAAAAATTGACCTGAGACAGCGAGTTCTTTGTTCCCTTTGCCGAAAAAACAGCAACTGGGTTGTTCCCATTAGAAAAACCAATATCCCAAACTTCTGCAAAGATGCCTGAACTGCGGAGCAAGGAAACAGATGGAAAGGGAATCAGGCAGGATTGCCTTAACACATTGTAGAGACTGGCAGCTGCTAAAACTGCTGGGAGATGTTTTTCCATGTGATAGGTTGTGAGTCCCGTGCTGGCCAACCATAGGATGTTTGGATAATTAGCCCTAACAACCAGGCTCAGCTGTGTTTGAAATAATACTTCCTCCTGTGCGGTCCCTGCATTGTGCTTACATTGCTGCATTCCTCCTGTTGAGCACTCAAGGCATTTGTTGTGCCCTCATCATTCCCTACTCGCAGTTTATGTCTTCTTTATATGGTGTCATGACCCTCCTCATTTTGTTTATGTCTGTAAATTGAACTTAATGTACATATTTTTAGGACAGTATGATTTCTGATGGCAAAAGTATGCGCAGTTTCCTCTTATGTACTTGCACTATTCTGCTATGCCACCTAGAGGTTATATAGCAGAAAAGGAGAAGAGGTGCCCAGGTCGCTATTCTGTGGGAAAAGATTCAGTGCATTGCAGACAACACAGCTCCAGCAGCTGGGCAGTATAGAAATGGTCATAATGCCATACACAGGAAATTGACAGCCTTGCATTATTTCTCAGTGCTGCATCATCTCCAATTCCTGCTACTTCGAAGATGCATCCAGTCCATAAGCTACTTGCTGTTCTTTCCACCTTTGTAGAGTCCTACGGATTCCTTTATTTCTATTCCTACATCTTGAGTATAGGTAGAAGAAGAGAAAGACCTACTATGAACCCACTGAAATCAATCGGTCATGAGTAATTTAAATCACATTGATCTCAAGAGTTTTATTCTAAGCACGACCAAGTCTGCATCTAACCCAGTATCTGAATTTTTCTGTTATGAATAGTATTAAATTCTGATGCATTCTTGTGAGCCATATTTTTTATATATTCCACCTAGTTCTTATTAAACACCACCCTTTGGTGCTTTCCATCTACATAAAACTTTCATAGGGCAAAGCTGTTTCTGTTCAGCTTCTGACAGAATTGCTTAGGCAACACGTAATACATGCCCTGCCTAGTTTCAATACTATTGGGTGTTACTTAGTCACTAAAAGCTCTATTCTTGACTTGAAATTATTGATATGTTAACTCCTAACATTTGCCAAACACATTATAATACACAATCCACAATTCCAGATAGTTCCTGAAAGATGTTATCAGATAAATCAAGTTAATGATGAGGCCCAGTATAACTGGAATTGGACAGACTGGTCCAACTTTTCGTACCTTAAGGACCACATGAGGAATTCAACATGAAACTCGGGGGTCACACAATGAATTACATTTCCATAGCATAAATTAATATGCTTGTAATATATTTAATTTACTATACCCAATTAATCTAATTATTAAACGCAGGAGAAAACACATATGAGACTAATAGGACTCATAGGACTAATTGAATGAAAACACCAAGCACAATGACTGCCCCTCTTGCTGGGACCCAGGCTCGAGGGTGGGAACGGGCGGTGGGGGCACATGCCTGTGGGCTGCTTGTTGGTCCACCACAATGTGGGTCTTTTTCCTCTGGTAGCACAAGCTTGTATTGTTTTCCAGTGAAAACAGGAGATTAATGCGCAGGGTGAGCCACATAATAACATTGTTCAACTTATTTGTGAGGACTTGACAGTGGCCAATGAGGCATCAGCTGGTCCAACAAAATGCCACTGAGAAAACTCTCAGGGATGCGTCAGGCATCCCTTTGGTGGTGGACACCAGTATCAGCATCCATCAGCCTGAGTTCCTGGCAAGGTTCAGTAAAATCCTTTGAA